ATAAGATGATATAGGCGTAAAAGACATTCTCTTATGCATCCTTTGAAATTCATTTTAAAATAAAGTTATTTCCTTTATCAAATAAACTTTATGATAATTTGATAAAATAAAAAAACATGCAAACATGATTATTTTATTTTAATAAATAAAATTTTAATTGCATATTCTTTAATGTCATTAATTAATTTGATTTGTTTGTAAAATTTTTGAAAAATAAAAAAAAAAACTGATTAGTATGATTAGCAATCTTGTTACCGTGATTGAAATCAAAATTTCTTTTCTTGTGTGGGTTTTAATATTTTCTAAAATGGTGTGAAATTGTAAACTATCCGCAAATAATCGAAAATCTTATTCTTACTTTATTAAACAAAAATTTATTCATTTTTACATGAGCTTTAATTGCGGTGCACACCACTAAGGGACCCCATACCTTCTCGTGGTGTCGGTGATTAACTAGGATCAATAAATTTGAAAGTAATTTCGACAGACACTGTAGTTTAAACATAAGGTCGAGAGGAGATTCGAAAACAGAGAGGGTCCCACACACTTAAATTGAAATGTCGTCAAAAAGGAAGTATTGTGTACTGGGATATCAGTACAAGTGTTGTTTGGCACCACGGTCGGCGGCGAGGGCTTACACCTCAATAGAAACTAAGCCGACAGTGGAATCGCGATTCGAGGTGGAAACGTTTCTTAAAGAATCAGAAGGGAGGAAGTTCTGCTCTTATTCCAGATAGGAAGATGATGGTAACAAGAACATCATCAATAAGGCTAAACCCATTTTTTTAACAGGGATAGGAGGATCACCCTCCAAAACTGTTGAGGTAATTGACTTCGGCATAATTAATACTTTTACATGCAAGGAATAGATATCTGGTCGAGATATGCGAGGAATAAGCTTCGAAGCGCAAGAAGGAGGCTTAAACTACGGTTGAAACTTAAATGACCCAGAGTAGGTTAGTTCCTGGGAAAGGTAGTTTGTTTGAAAGTTCACCTTTAATAGCGAAGAGTATGTTCAAATCATGTTGTGTGCGAAGTACTGCCTAACTATTTCAAATTCTTCAAAACTCACTTTTGACTGGAAGGGGAATCCGACGGACAATAATAATATTTCTGTATCAACAAAAATTATTCTAATTCATATTACCGTATTCGTGATATAGTCTAACAATTTTCAGTGTCACCATACCATCGAAAGATTTGAGAAGTCTTGCCATAAATACGAGCTCTATCATCGTCTACTTGTTATAACAAAAAATACAATAAAATATCGTTTTACAATATTTTTATTATTTTTTTAATTATCTAAATCCGAAGTAATAAAATATTTGCGTTAGAACAAAAAAAAAAAAAAATAATAAACGCAAACACTATTCAGGCACGTTATTTACGTCATATGTTTTACGTCGTCTTTAAAGACTCAAAAATAAATAGCAATAATTTTAATTTGTAATTAATTTTCTTCCACCCCCAAAATCAAAATACCGAAATATTTTTATCTTATATGTATAAAAATACCATAATCGTTTCCCATTTTATTTTCTCTCTTGTGTTTTTTTTTTTCTCTTTTTTTTTTATTGTTTCCCTTTCGGCTTTACAATTTTGTGTTCATTCGGATCGACAAAAAGAAAAACAGAAAATTCGCACGCGTTTACAAACTGTCAGATTTTTCTTTTTTTGTTTTGTTTTGTATTTTCTTTTGATTGCTTGCTTATAGATGGCGGTATATAAAACATATGAAATCGATTAAAGAATGAAAGGATGGAAAAGGATAATAAATGAAAAGAGGTGAATTTTAAATGGTTTTTTTTTTCCTGTTCTTGTGTATACAATTTTTTTTTTGTTTTTAGATGTAGCAAGTTGATGATTTAACATTTGTTAATGGTAAACAATAAAAAAAAAACGCTGCTACAAACATTACAATAAAACAATCTGTTAAAAAATATGTAGAACATTTTTCGCATCTTTTGTATTCTTTAGCTTTCATTCTTGAAACAATTACATATACAAATAATAGTAAATGTGAACGTAATAATATTGCATATTTATTGGCATATGTGTATTCATTTGTTTAAGGCATGAAAGGAATTTTATAATATAGAGAATACTGGTTAACTAAGACGTATTCCTGAAACACATATTATTCGAAAAATTGTTAGAATATAGAAGTTTTTGTGTCTGAAACCCAATTTATTCGGAAAACTGCTAAAATATGGAAAATCACTTGTCTAAAATGCAATTTATTAAAAAAATTGTTTCAATATAAAATAAACAGAAACGCGTCCGGAACGCGATTAAGCACATTTCCTATAATAAATCCAAGTATTCACAATATCACCATCAGTGTATACCCATGACGAAATAATGTACTTTGACTTCATAAATAACTAGATTTGCAAATCCACAATTCTTTTGAAAATTTATTACACCTCTTCAACAATAGACACAATCAAACTAAAATATGACATAAATTTTCAAAAAAGAAATATTCAAATATCGTACAACATAATTTACGATCATCTATGTTTTCTATTGAAATTCAAATTAAAATGTTACCACTATGCAAATCCAATATCTTTCAAAAATGATAAAATAAAATTATAATATCGGCTTATGACTCACCAAAAAAACGGAAATTCATGAATTTCTCTAATATTTTCTCTCGAAAAATAAAGAAAAGAACCAGAAATCCGAAAATAACGAAATCGCGATCAAACGCATTAAATACAATCGAAATGATTTCGATTAATTCTTTTAATTAATTTTTTTTCTCTTAATTTTTAAACAACATCTTTTATCGCTAAAAAATTATAATATTAAAAATGCAATATTTACCACAATAAAAGCATTTCTTAAACATATAAAAGAAAAAATAAAAATAATAAAAAAAACAATAAAAGCCATTGACAGCATCCCATTAAAATTTGTGATAAAATCTCACCTAAGAACATTTATTTTAATATTTGTGGGAAAAATAAATGAGAAACGCGAATGAAAAATAAACAAACAAATGTTTTTGTTGCATTTCTTTAAAAAAAATAAAAGCAAAGCAAACAAAACGAAAAGAACAAGGTACATAAAATCGCGAAAAAAAAATCAATTATCATAATTTATGCACACACACACATTATACACTTTCATTAAATTATGAATATTTTTACCTTATTTTATTCAAAAAAAAATTGCTGCTGTTAATGATAATATGCTAAAAAATAAAAAAAAAAAGTTTTCTTTTCTGCCTCAGATTTCGGTATCTAAAGTATAATTTTTTTGTGACCCAATAATCGATTAATACAATGGCAAGCGACGACGACAACCAAGAAAAGAAATTAAATGTGATTTAATTTTTATGTTGTTCACGCTTTAAAATTGTGGCAAAGTCGATATAAGTGCTTAAATTAAGAACCAAATTCCCCATATTTGGAATACAAAGTGGAAGTCTATGAGACTAGAAAATTTTCTATATTCTATAATATTTTTGAAGAAAATTAGGGAATTCGAATTTGAAGCCATTATAATGCGACAAAGCGAAGTTTAGCTTTTATTAAATAAAACTAGTTAAACAAAAATTTCACGAATCTAAGTTGTCATTTATATTTTAGGGTCCAATTCGATTTTTCTTTTTGGAAAATGTCGCCAAAGATATCGTCAATCATGCGTTAAATATTGTTTCCTAAATTAAAACTCGACGCCAAATTGTCAACAAAAAAAAAATTGCATGCATTCCCAAAGAAAATAAATAATCAAAAGGTGTGAAATAGCATAATATAGCATCCCGGCAACAGTCCATAATATATATCAGCCTGAAACTTTAAATTGCCAACCAAACGCATTCTATATTAATATTGTTTCGAAGATTGTTCACTGCTCAGTTTCTTCGCATTTTAATATAGAGTACCAGAATAAGTTGAAATATAATTGACAATATTGTTACGAACCAGGAGTTAACCGTCGGAAATAAAAATTCGATTTATCAATAAAAAATATGTTCCCCTACATGTGTTAGCCTAGAAATATGCAATATTTTCAAATTTTTTTAGAAATTAAAATAAAATTTATATTTATATGTTATATAGGTTCTATTTCGGAAAATAATAAACAATCTTCTACTTAAAATCATACTATCATTCCGAAGATGTAAGAAAAGACCACAAACACCTCGATGATTACATTAAAGATTTAGAGATATCCAAATATGCATTTAGAAGTTAAAAATTGAACTGGTCTATTCGATTGTACATTATTGGACCGTACGGAACATGCGAACTAAATGTTCTCTAATGTGACTTAAGAAAATTAATTCTAACATATTCTAAGGTTTTCCTTCTTCTTTTTCTTTAATTACCATTATAATTCGAGCACTCAATCAATATACTAAAAAATGATTATTCAATAAAAATTTTTGGCCAATAACCTCTTAATTGTTATAATTATAATTTTCTCTCCACTTAAATTCTCATATTATTTGAGCGGAAAAATTAAGTTATCAATGGGTATAATTCAAATGTTCTGACAGGAAATTATGTTTTCGGTATATTGTTAGGCAGTAGCACAAAAAATCTTTTAAATGGACAGAAAGAGGCATGCGATTTTATTAGAAAAAAAATTTTAATATTTTTTTTAGTTTCTTATATTTTTTCCCCTCATGAAAGAACCAATCAAAATTTTAAAAATGAAAAACCTGAGAAATATAAAAACAAACAATGACCAAATGTTTTTAATATGTTTTAGTTTTTAGTTCAGAAGAGAAATGCAGAAATATGGTGAAAAAACAAAAAAACCAAAAAAAAAAAAACAGCAAAATTAGTGCAAAATACTATGCGAATCAAAAAAAAGATCTTTTCAGACCATTCCTGCTTATATAAAATGAGAAAATTTTTCTAAAAGAAAGCAGTCAAGATTAAACAGCCTCCAAGGTTAAAGCATAAAAATCATTTCATCATTTTCATTTCAAAATAATCATCACATTTTTTTGAATTAATTTTAAATTATTTTTCATCATGAATCCGGTAATTTACAAAAAAATATGTTTTAAATGAAATTTAATTAATAATTTTCTAACAAAATTTGTAATAATTTTTTTTAGCTCATTAAATTCATTACATTATTAAGTATTATTAGTTTAACTAAAGCAGCCATTAATCCAATTGGTATTGATGGTTATCAATATAAAAAAATACCAAACAATTCAATACAACCATCACAAACATCAATTGATACAATTAAAACAATAATAAGAAATGATCATATGGGTAATTATGTTTATGGTTTTGAAACATCTGATGGTATTGTACAACGACAAGCTGGTGAAGCAAATGGTTCAAAACGTGGTTATTATTCATATGTTGATCCTGATGGTAAAACATATACAGTATGTTATATAGCTGATGAAAATGGTTATCGTATTGTTGGTGATCCAAAATTGGGTGCAATTAAAGAAATTCAATGTCCATATGATAAAGATAAAAGAAGACCAAATCCATTAGTTGCTAAAATTGCTAATACCGGTAATAATTCTGTATATGTAAAACCACAAATAAAAGCACAAGTAAAAGGAAATGGATATGGATATGTTAAACCATTATCATCAGTATCATCATCAGTGACACATAAATCATTATCAAAATTACAATCACATCGTCAAGTAAAGAAAAGTTATCCAGTTCCGGAAGTTGATCCGTTTTTACCACCATATGTTTAAATTATAAGAAATAAGAAACTTAAGAATAAAATATTTTTTTAAAAAATTTTTTCAAAAATTTTTGTAATTTAATTGTATGAAAGCTGAAATATCCAAATTTAAATAGTTTCGTTCAAGAACTTTAGAAAGGAAGAGAGACTTGGTGAAATGGTCTAATGGTCGTTTGTTGTAGTAATAATAAGAGACGGAACCCAGCCTGGCCACTTGCACTAAGCCCACACTCTACGCCAATAAAGCTGTTCAACCCTCAAGTCCTCAATCTAATACCCCACAACCCCTACGTAATACAATCTCAAAAATTGTCACCCAGAACCAATTAACCTTCTTGGCGAATCTCAGTCTCAAAAGCCCCGTCATAGACTCATCCGACAGGACTTCCAGGCCATCATAAAAGAAAGCCCTCAGGATGCACTTCCTGTGAAGAACAGGCAATAATAACTCGATTTTCCATGATGACTAACTTTTTAAAAGCAAAAATTTTTGTTTTAAAAAAATTATCAATTCAAAAATTGTTCTTATTGTTATAGTAAATTCACCACACTCCCATATTTATAAAATTTTTTTAGTAAATCTAGAATTTAAAATTTGTTCACGTGTTCTCAATAATATGCGAGAACAACTAATATCATTAAAATTTACGATTAGATTTCAAATTTTATACAAGAAAAATAAGTAAAAAAACTATCCGGAAGTATCAGAAAAACAAACAAATAATCACCATTTTTTTTTTTACTAATTAAATTTAAATTTAAATAAAGAATATAGAGAAATAGTAAAATAGTAAAATATAGAATTTAAGCAAATCAAAACAAAATGACAAAAAAATTAACATAATTATTTTTTGTGTCAATAAAGAATCATCATCATAAATTTTCATCACCATCATAGAACTTAAAAAATATAAAAAAAACCAGAACAAAATATAAATAAAAAGATTTTTTTTTAATATTAATTCACCTATATTTTTGTAGTCTTATGTTAATCAAATTGACTCGAATGCTATTATAGACTTAATTTTAGGTGGGTATAAGAAATAACAATTAAATTATCATTTCAAAATCAGCTGTAAGAATGTCGGCTACACAAGTTCTTACAAAATTTTTATTAATTTTTAATAGTGTGTGGTTGATTGTCCTCATAGTTATGCACTTAATTTTCACTCTCGATATACTTATCTTTAACCAATCTTCCACATTAAAATTTCTCACAGTGATTGTACAGTAATATAACACTCTAAATTTATAACACTCCACAGGATAAAAATGCGAATAACAGAAAGCTCTATGAAAAAAAGCAGTTGACTACGCACATTTTTATGCTGATAGATGCAGTTTAAAATTTTTATATCGTATGTCCATAATATAGCGCGAAAGTGGTTTGAAATGTTAGCGGCCAATTATTTTTATTAAAATCTATTTCACAAATCGGCCAACAATCTTCGAGCAATTTTTTAAAAAATTATTATTTCTCATCTGTAGAGAAGTTCTAGTCTTGTTTTACTCAATTAGCCGCTATGAAACCAAAAATATAAGGATGGTTAATAAAAATAAAACTATTCAGAAATCTGTTATAGGTATGAAGTAACTTGAAAGACATACATTCTTACAAATTTTTCGGGAACCTTAAATTATATTTTAACACTCATAAATGCTTGTAAAAAGAATATCCGTTCGAATTTTTAATGTGACATAAAGAAATTAATTCAAATGACACCGAAATTATAACAGTTACGTCATGTAAATGTCAATTATTAAAAATTTCACACAATATAACATTAATTTCTTGTAGTTCTCAAAAATGTATACAACTGATAAGATTAATAACATAATCTTAATTAAAGCAAAAATTCTACACGCGTTTAAAATCTCACACGTATATACAAACAAATATACTTTTATAAAATTTGCAATACAACATAAATTTTAAAGAGTCTTATACACAATGGCTGTTACAATCACAAATTATTGTATATACACACACACAGTAAATTAAGAAATAATTACGGTAGCTACAAATTTAACTAAAAAGCTACTTGAATTTTTAAAGATTTTTAATCATTTATTAAACAAACACTCGTATAACTTTAATAATTTGATTGTTAAGTGTGTACAATAATTGTGTGTACAATTTGCATGAGAGTTGAAAGAAGAAAAACAACAATAATTGTATGGTATATTTTGGCTATATAGTTGGTAGTCAGCTATTGTTATGAAGTCATTTAACTAAAATTTTATACTTAATTTTATTAACTATTAAAATTGATAATGAAAATATTGATGAGAAAATTTTTCTTAGTTATTGTGATGAACACAAGCACATTTTTAATTTTTATAAATAAAATGTACTTTTATCTTTATAATTATTTTTTAAAAGAATATTTCCGTGTTTATTTATAGAATGAAATTAAATAAATACTTGATAATTTGTTAACTTTAATATAAAATTTATTGTAATTTGCAAAAAAAAAATTATATTCTCTTATATGAGAATAGTGTTGCCATCAGTGAGAAATATTATATTGCACAATGTTATAAAATATTTTAAGACTTATATACGAATAATTTCGTGAGTACATCCGCGTCAACACAATGTGAATGTGAATAGAAATAAGATGGCGGACGTACTTATAAGAAGAGAACTGTAGAAATATTAACTACTGGCTTCAAGTGGTGCACTCCTACCATTTCAATTTTGCCTACATCTGACTACAATTGTGACCGAAATAAGACCAAGTTTGGAGAATTCTTAAATACACAAAAATTTGCAAGGTGCAAAGTTCAATGAAGCTTAATTTTATTTTATAACACTTTATGTCAAAATAACGTAAATATATAAAAATATATATAAAAAAGAAATTGAAACTGGGTTGGTACTAAAGTCTACATCTAAGTTGGTCTTGGACCACGTTCTATATGAACTTTGTATGCAATATTCATAAATGTAAAGAATAGTATAGTGTTATATTTGTGGAAGGGAATGAGGAAGTAGATGTACTGTAAAGGAGGGGGGGTAACACACTTATAGGGCCGGGGCCCTTTTGCGGCTTCAGACCACATACTATTTATTAGGAACTAAGGAAGTAATCAGCTTCAGATTATGATCAGAAGCGTTTTTAAAAAATTATGCGAATACGCAAAAGAGAACTCTTCTCGGGCTCTTGTCGGGTCACTGTGACCTCTGGGAGCACCTTAGTAAGCTGGGCCTGGCAAGTGGAAATACTTGCAAGCTCTGTGAGGAAGATAGGGAGACTCAGTACACATTCTGGGAAGAGGGTATTTCTCTCGCTCGCACGAGAAGGGGAACACTGGGACTTTACCATAACGATGACAGAGCTGCGGTCCGCGCCTGGCACCCAGGTGTGGGGGGCAAAATAAGTTCCTTACATGGTCGCAATGTACTGTTACCCCATGTTTACAAGCTACAACAAAAGTCAAGGTACCACACACAGCGTGATGTTTGACATTGCTCGTGATTATCATTCACTAGGTATGCTCATCATAACCATTCCTCTTCCACCAATATTACATAATATACTAAGGGTGGCCAAAGCTCCTTGCAAAATTCCTCAAATCGTAACTCAACATCCGTTAATTACTCATTTACAAATTTTCTCACCATTATTATGAGAATAATACAAATTTTGATTCCAAATCAACTGAAATTTAAATTAAAACAAATATCAAAATTATATTCAAATAATTTTCATTGGAAATTATTCAGTATAATTTTAATTTAAATTGTAAAATATTCAAAAACTTTAAATTCTAATTAATACCGCCTAATTTCCGGATTCATTTCAAATTTATTATCTGTGATTCAATATTGATGACTCATATTGAATTATTATAGGTGATTGTTATGTTTATTATTGTTTTTATTTCTTAATTGTATTGCAAACTTGATAGTTGAGGCGATGGTGTATATCGTAACCACTATGTCATTACCACTATATCATTCTTAATTAAATATTCTTAAAAACAAATAATTTACCATAAAAAATTAGTAGTAGATTTTTTCTATTTTTTAATAAAAAGTAGAATTGAAACAGTTATTTTATTTTATTTTTATTATTCTACATTTAAAAAAGCTTTAATTATAGTTTTATATTACCTTGGGTTAAAAGAGAGTTCAATAAACTTTTAATTACTTTTTTTTATAATCAAACAAAATCTTCATCAATTTTATATATGTAAGTATAAACGAGAGTATAACCAAAATTTAGGTTGATTTTCTTTAACTACAATATTTAATATGGTAGGTGAATCTCATTATAATATACTATAAATTTAAAAAAAAAAATATTAAAGACAGTAATTCTAGAGGTAGACTTGCATAAAATATTGAAAACTAACCAATAAATCAATTATACAAAATCTGATGTGGTCAGTAAATAATCGAACGCAATTTAATAAAATTGTTGCACAAAATAATGAAAAAGTCTTATTTATTAACTATTAACAAACATAGAAAAAATATTAATTAGGTTCTTAGTATAGATCCACTTTCTGAGATTCGATTTCCCTTAAAAGTTCATCAATCAGTTTCACGTTTACAAACACAACTCAAATTTCAAGAAATTCCGTTAACAATTATTAACTCTTAAGCTTTAACAGAAAATTTAAAATTCTTCCCTTAATGAAAATTCGATTTTCGAGACTTGACATTTACAGTTTAGTCGAAATTGAAATACACGATTGCACAGACAGGCAGTAAACCGACAACTTCCCAAAAGTTCAAAATTAATTTAGTTACAATTCTTTGTATATTTGATACTCAACATGTATTTGATGCTATCACACAATCTACCTTACTGTATGCAATGCGGTCCAGTAAAAAAAAAAAGTTCACAACACTTTTTCATATTTAATTAATTAAAAATACACTATATTAAACGAGTTCCTCTATATATTACCAGGCTAATATTATAATTAAAATAATAAAATAAGAATTATAATTTTTTTTCATTAATATTTTTAAGAGGGAAAAATCGGTCAAAAACC